AAAGATACGGATAGCGGATTTGTTAGGATCCCTGGTCGTTCATTTCTCCAACGGATCCGTAGAAGATACGGATAGCGGATTTGTTAGGATCTCTGGTCGTTCATTTGGCTAGCGGATTCGTAGAAGATACGGATAGCGGATTTGATAGGATCCCTGGTCGTGGGTTGAGCTAGCGGATCCGTAGAAGATACGGATAGCGGATTTGATAGGATCCCTGGTCGTTTATTTGGCTAGCGGATTCGTAAAGATACGGATAGCGGATTTGATAGGATCCCTGGTCGTGGGTTGGGCTAGCGGATCCGTAGAAGATACGGATAGCGGATTTGATAGGATCCCTGGTCGTGGGTTGGGCTGGCGGATCCGTGGAAGATACGGATAGCGGATTTGATAGAATCCCTTGTCGTTCATTTGGCTAGCGGATTCGTAGAAGATACGGATAGCGGATTTGATAGGATCCCTGGTCGTTCATTTGGCTAGCGGATTCGTAGAAGATACGGATAGCGGATTTGATAGGATTCCTGGTCATGCGTTGAGCTAGCGGATTCGTAGAAGATACGGATAGCGGATTTGATAGGATCCCTGGTCGTTCATTTGGCCAGCGGATTCGTAGAAGATACGGAACGCGGATTTGATAGGATCCGTATAACCACCAATGTATTTTTTTGATAGAGTGGGCACTGTCAAACCTGTCTATGTTAGTAAGAAAATTTAATGAGTGAATGAAAAAGTTTATTCCTCTCGATCCTTGCAAATGTTTTTATTTAAGGATTCGTGCAAATGATATATCCGTATTCGTTTACAGTTAGGGATTCGAGTATATAAAACATCGTATCCATAGTGTATCTGCTATCCGAGCGGATACGGTATCACATCCGTTGGGTATTTTGTCGTATCCTTCACGGATTTGGCATTTGTTCGCATTTGTTCGGAATCTTCCGCATCCGTGACGGATCGATTTGACGGATGCGACGGTATCTGCCGGGATCCGTGGCCATTTTGCCCAGTGTACGTTTCCTCTTCGTCTCCAAACCAAAAAGGTCAATGACCTGAACTAGACTGTTACCATGGTACATTGTAAGTAGTGTTGGATTACATCATGTTGCAATTTTATAGCAGGAGGGATTTAGACTCCTGTCTGACCATATATATATACAGTATAAAATTTGTGTGTGTTTGAGTAAGAATCAATAGAGCAGGCCATATGCGAAGGTAAACATTATGCGTTTGCTTTGCAAATGTTTCCTTTCTAGTTAGTATGATATTTTTGTAGCTAAGAGTCGATGTATTAAGTATCTTAAGAACTATAGCATATGTTTCAAGAATTGGCTCACGCCACTCCAAGTTTAAGTTCCTTCTTCTTGGAAGCTCTACATTTCAACTGAAATGTACAGTGTAGTACTATATGATATCTTGTTTTATGGTGAAATCCCATGTTCCCTACATGTACCTCAGGATGTGAAAGCAGAGTTCACCATACCGTTGCCTGGTTACTCCATATCTGAGCTGGACCCTCTGGAGACGACCGACAGAGAACATGTCTTCTCTCTCAGCCAGGCCACGCAGGTCTACATGCTCGCAGCTGATGACTCCAAGAAGAAAAACAGGTGAGATTCAAACAGTGCGCACTAGTCACTC